GGGGAGCTCAAACCACCACATTTGCTGGCGGAGATACACCACAGAAAGGCAAAGCACAGCCCCCAGACAGAACCCCCAGGGGAACGGTCAAAACAGACCGAAAACCGAGGAATAAGGTGTGGGAGCAAGCATAAACAGACAGGCACACTTGAGCCCAAACCCTAGGGCCCAGACCCAAAACAGACAAAACGGAAAACCCTCTGTAAAAGCAACACTCAAACGTTCCCAGAGGAACAGAAGATGGGCAGAAAACACCAGAAAAGCAAAGAAACGACAACAGGAGAATAAAACCCCCCAAAAAGGTGAAAAAACTCACCCAAGACGCTCGATCACACACCCATACGCATGTAAACAAACTGCAACGCCGCCCTGGTGGCCACGCCGGGAAACCAGCAGAAGAAAATGGCCACCAGAACAGGGGGCTGTGACCGACGCAAAAGATATGAAAACACGCCAGCAAAAGTAGGAAGCATGCAGACTGGATGGGCAAAAAACTCTGCACAGAAGCAGAAAACCCAGGCAGGGGCAAACAGCCCCAAAACTGCTAGCAGGCATTCCCCACAGCTCCGGGAACCCGCAACAGAGGCCCCGGGGCAGAGCCGTCCTCCAAGCCCTCTGCCCTTAAAGAGAAGCAAGAGTCCATGGGAAAGGATGCAAGAAAGGGCCGCTGGTAAGACCCAGAAGCCTTGGCAGAAGGAACAGGCTCGAAAACCTCTGTCCCCAACCCGAACGTGGCAGCCCCCGAAACCGCCCGAGTCTTGGCCCCAACTAAACCCCGCCCCGACCCCAAAACCCGCAAACGGTCCGGAACCGGGAACAGGGAAGGAAAGGGGCGAACAGCACCTAACCAAAACGGGGCGGCCCCGGGGCATCCGAGTGGGAAACCAACCTAGCGTGTTGCAGCAACCTAACCTAGCTTGCAACATGGATGCTGCCTGTACTCTGAACAGTAATAACATCAGGAGAGTACTGGAGAACAAGGAGAGAATATCTCTCGCAAGACTCCTGGTCAAGGTGTCAGTGACCCAACAGGCAACACGACGGAAGTAAAAGTGGCGACTGTCACCGGGAGACAAGGGCACAGCAACCAATGATCCCGTACAAGACGGATTGGAACCCGGAAGACGCATTCAATGGTCCACCGAGCCCCGACAGGGGTTTCCAGGGCCCGTAGGGTAACAACTACGGGGAGTCCGGGCAAGGTGTTTCTAACCGGTTAAAACCCAAAAGTAACAAGGGGGTAGGGGGACAACACTGAAAACCCCTGCGACGTGTACAATAACGGGAGCCTAGCAGAGGGCCACCAAACACTACCAGTGGAACTATAACCACACTAGGCAGACCCTCACCAGGCAAATGAAAATAAAAACAAAAGGAAAACCCAGCAAGAGTACACCGTCTCTAGAGGCAACAGGAACCGGTCGCCGCTTAGGTGGAAGGTCGCACAACGCCTTGACGCCCTAATCAGCACAATACCAGTGCCTACCTAGGGGCCAAGGGCGAAAACGAGGGCCAAAGAAGGGGCCCCAAGGGCGAGGCAAATGCTGAGCAGCAAGAACCTCTACGGGAATGGTTCCCGAACGCCCCAGGGAAGATAACTCTGTCATGCAGGGGCAGTACTCACAGGGCACTTAGGGAAGGAAGCCCCCCAAGCACATGCTGCCCTGGTACTGATGAGGAACACCTGGCCACCGCACAACACAACACTCGGCAGTGAACACCACACAAGGCAAACACTGCCTAGGAAACTGAGCGCAGAAAAGCGTCTATCCTGGTTGACATTAGCTTACGAACTGATGCTAGGACGCCAGCGCGGTGAGGTTCGGGGCTTTCCCCTCCACCTCTCGGGGCGAAGAGGGTTGCGCGGACGATCGGCGTGGCAGTAAAGTGTGATGTTTGCTCGTTTCCTTGGGATTGTAGGGAGTTTCTACCTCTCTGTTCAGTTTTTTGTTTTAGTTTTTTACCATGTGGGGTTTGTTTTGTTATGCCTACCTTTCTGGATGCCTAACCCTAGTCGATGGCAGATAAGGAAAACCCCAACCACAAGGAGGTTTTCCAGAGCCATTGCTCCCTGAAACCTCTCTGAAGGGGCTAGGTTCTGGTGCTCGTCCCTGGTAGGTCTGAACTCCTTAGCTAATGTCCCGGTCTAATATAACATACATTAGCCCAATAAGCTCCAGGGAGCTGTAGAGCCTCCCCACAGAAAAGCCCGTAAACTTTGGTGTTATTTGGAACAAATGAGAGAACTGTACTCATTCGACGACTTATGTTAAAACTTTATGGAAAGTGAGGGTTAACCTCTATTAGCTGGAAATGCTCTAGTTAACCACTGTGCTGCTCACCTTCAAAATACGGCATTCACCCCTCTGTGTGCAGAAAATAAATTCTGGGGAAATTTTTTTTTTGTTTTAGAAAATGTTAAATTACCCTTCCCTGATCACAGATATGTAAAAAAAAAAAAAAAAAAAAAAAAAAAAAAAAAAAAAAAAAAAAAAAAAAAAAAAAAAAAAAAGATATTATACTTACGTTGGCACCAATGGCGTCCGGAAAATGGCGTGTTACGTCACAATTTGGTGGTCGCCCATGACGTAGACTCCTAAAGCCAGTCTCCCGCCAGCTTCAACATGCGCGAGTTGCCACAAATATTATTTTGTTCATTTTTTTAGTACATTTCCAAATACATTTTTTGTTTTGCCAATCCTATGTATAATTAACATGTACACATTATTATGGCAGTAGAACATCCGTACTGTTCCAAGAGGTTATCTTGAGAGGATTTCGGGGCTTAGCGTCCAGGCGGCTCGGTCCTCGACCAGGACTCCTTTTTGTTACACCCCCCCCCAGGAAGCGCCCCCCCCCCCAGGAAGCAGCCCATAGCAGCTGTCTAATTCCCAGGTACAGTACCTTACGGGCTATTCATGTCCGTGCCACCTCTTGGGTGGCTTAATCTTTATCAATCAATCCCAGGTACCTATTTACTGCTAGGTAAAAGGGGGCATCAGGGTGTAAAACATCTTGCCCATTTGTCTCCGCCTCCACCGGGGATCGAACCCAGAACCTCAGGACTCAATCCAAACCGCTGTCCACTCAGCTGTCAGGCGTCAAGACACAGTGTTGTATGTGTCACAAACGTGTCTACATATATTGTTCATATATCCAATGTTTCATGTTCATTTATGTATATTTACACACAATATACATACACTTTTACACACTATATACATTCACCATCAACACACTCAGAACTCCGCAAGTGTGCACTACCACACCCAGCCACCCCTCCCTCACTCCTCCAACACTTTACTCCTTACACCCTACTTGCCAACATTCCTCTTACCACCATACTGTTATTGTATATATTACACTATTTACACACGTTATGTTTATGTACAGTATCTACATGTTTTATTCACCATAACTATGCAAGGAAGCTGGAATTGTCCAAACAGCACAGTGGCCACCATACACTGCGTGAGAAATCACACAGCAGCCAACAGACGACGCTACGATTACGACGCCACCTGCCTCACGAAGTTGGCTCCTCCCAACATAATCCTGTTGCTGTTATTACACTATATACACACATTGTATATACCCATGTACTTATGTGGTCACCATAGCGAATCACTAAGCTAGTATGATGAGCAAAACATGATTGGCTGCCACACACAGTGAGGTACCTGGATTACCTTCCTCACCAAAATTCCTCCTCCCACAATACTACGCACAGTGCTAATTATGACCACAAACCTGCTATTATCACAATCCTGGTCACTAAATCCTGTAAATGAATAACTGACCACAAGTTTATTTTGTAAAGTATAAGAAGTCATTTGAAGATTCCTAGATGGACAAAATAATGGTGTGGTGCTGAGGCTAGTTGTGATGCTGTGGAATCAATGCTGTGAACATCGTGAACAGCATTGATTCACTGATATTTGAACATTGTAACCAGTCATTATCAAACTCAGGCTCTTCTGTAATACTATCATGACTAAATAATACCAGTTACATATATGTTTTGATAGTATTAGGCAATACTGTGGTCACAAGCTGAACAGCAGTGCTGTGAACTCATGCTGCGTGCGCCAGCCTTGGTTGCTTGCTCAGTACTGAGGCTCTCACACCCAGGAATGTTGCCCACGATTTAAAAAAATCAAACAAATGGCATCTGTTTACAAGAGCCCTGAGAAAGCTGATGTGAACCCCATGTTGCCGTGGAGAGTTTTGAATCAAGCGCTATACCTTTAAGATCCTGGAGGCGCGTTGCGCAATCCCACCCCCCCCCACCCCCTCGTTGAGCGCCTGCAGGCTCGTTGCGCAGTTCAGCGATTACTGAATAACCAGAAATTTGCATGAAAATGGGGAATCCAAGTATTGGGGAAAGATGTGTTGCATTGTAATCAAATGCAATTCCTCTTACTTGTAATATATTCCTCTTCATCCGCAAGACCTTCCAACTCTTGTAGTCTTTGTAATTTTGTGTTGCTTGAATGGTCTCTTGCATGGTGGCTCTGTGCACATAATGTACTGGAAGGTGTGTGACAGACAGTGGCCTCTATTTACTAATATTCAAGAAAGAAACTAGGCCATTAATGACTTTTTTTTCTCAAAATAGTAGACGATTGCTAGGGCCATAGGAATGAAATATGTAATTATATACCCACCTCAAATTATAAATATTCAAAGTTGTGTAAAACTGTTAGTTCACGACACTTATAGATATGGTCAATGCACTCATTAACCCTATCAATAAGGGTTAATGCCCTCATCCTGAAAGACCTAGGTCTGATGTTGGTAGGGTTTATTTGTAACCAGGTATAATTTTAAATGCATACAATGAATCAGAAATGACATTCAGCTATAGTGTGATGCACAGCATGCATCACTTCTATAACAATACTTGTTTCTGAGGAATTCAGATAATCCAATAATTTAAATGTTTCAACCAATTTGTTGATGAGGCATTATTGTAATAAGTTAAATATATGCAGACTCACCTGGAATTTAGGTTTTGTTACAGTCAATGGAGTAGGCTGATGGAGTGTTGGTGTGGGCTGTGAGTGGCCAGCTGACATGCTCACTTCAGCACTGGCATTTAGAGAAATATCACTTAACCCATAAGCTGAAGAATTACTGCTTCCTGCTTCAGATATTGTTCCACTCACACTTGCACCTGTTAGGCTTGTGGGTTTGTTTGACTTTTTATTTCCCTTGGTTTGAACACCATGTGAATGAGGGCCAACAATTAGTGGCTGAAAAACAAACAAAAAATTGTGCATAAAGAGGGCATTTTTTAAATAATTATATCAAAATCTCATTCCACCTTATAAAAAAAACCAGCGTTGAATGTAATGAAACGCGATTTTCTGGGTAAACCCCGGAGGCTCCCTGGAGCTTATCAGGCTAATGTATGTTATATTAGACCGGGACATTAGCTAAGGAGTTCAGTCCTATCAGGGACCACCGCCAGAACCTGGCCCCCTCAGAGAGGTTTCAGGGAGCAATGGCCCTGGAAAACCCCCTTGTGGTTGGGGTTTTCCTTATCTGCCATCGATCGAGGTTAGGCACCCAGAAAGGTAGGCAAAACAAAACAAACCCCACATGGTAAAAACTAAAACAAAAAACTGAACAGAGATAGAAACACTCTACAATCCCAAGGAAACAAGCAAACATCACACTTTACTGCTGTGCCGATCGTCCGCGCAGCCCTCCCCGCACCGAGAGGGGGAGAGGGAGCCCCGGACCTCACTGCGCCGGCTGCCTAGCATCAGTTCGGAAGCTAAGCTTCAACCAACGCGAAAAAAAAAAACGACCGGTGGGAGGTAGGGTTTCCAGGGAGCCTCCGGGGCTCACCCAGAAAATGGCGTTTCATTACATTCAATGCTGGTTTTCTGTAGCGAGCCCATACGGCTCCCTGGAGCTTCATACCCAAAGAGAAGAAAAAGAAAGGGTTGACCCAGGAGGCGGCTGCCACATACTCCGCAACGCAAAGCCAAGACAACAGGCTGCAACCTGAGACCCAAGGCAACAAGAACGCACAGGAGCATTTGCGCGTATAAAGAACAAGTGGCCAAGAACCTGTGTGACCCTCTTATCCGAAATGACCCCTAGACGTCACCAACACAGCAGTGAAAGCTGCAAATGTCCAAACAGCACGGGCGTAAGGATAGACCGCAGGCTGGAAGACCTAAAAACTCTGAGGACGACCTGGGAGACCCGAGCCCTGAAACGGGGAACGAGGGGAACTGGATCAACCCAAAGTGCATCCCCAGACAGGGTACGCAGGTAACGGCAAAAAACACAACTGGACAACACAGAATGCACCCCTGGCCGAATCAATCAAGCATCAATAACCCAAGGGCCCCTCCCCCCCGGTAAGCAGTCGTCTCGACCGTTGCCAGAAGGACGAAGAAAGGCTGCAAACGTACAAACCTACCACCAGTACCAAAGAGCAGAAACTTAACCGAAGAGGCTACCACAAACTGAGGAAAAGGTAAGAGGGCACCCTGATCAAGGACCAGGACGGCTCAGGCGAAGCATGAGCAGGCCAGAGGTGAAACAAAACACGGGTAAGCGTACTGAACGGGGCAGATGTGACGTCCACCCTGAATACAAGCAGGAGCAGCTCCGCCAGCGCCGCACAAAACTAGGCGACAGTAAGAAACATCAAATAACTGTAGTCCTGAAAACCCAAGAAAGGACGAGACAACCCGATGTGAAAGAGAAAACGACCTACGAAGAGTAAGACAAAGGTGCATAGAAACACCAGAAGCATAATACTCTCGCTGAGACGAAGCTCGCAGGTGGGACACCAACAAAGCCACCTGATCACCACAGAGATGGTGATACCCGCATCAAAATACCAGACGCGAAGGCCCGGGGAGAAGGCCGAACCAATCACGTACAGGACTGGTACGATCTGCCGAAAGAGGCGGACCCGCGGGAAAACGCCCGGGATTTGGACACCAATCAAGCATTGTCTGAAAATAAAGCCGGGCCAGCCACCAAGGGACCAAGATGGCTACTCTCTTGGGAATGGGCTCCAACCAAGCCAGAACCCGAAGCAACAGCTGGACCAGGAGAAGAGGAACAGGTACCCCCCACCTAGACCAGTCCTTCCAAAAGGCATCCACTGTGAATGCCTCGGAGGCGGGTAAGGGTGCCATATAGAATGGGCGACGCCTAAACCATGCCAACTCGAAGACGTCCATTGCCAGGAGTCCATACGTCCGGCAGAGCCAACGAAACGTGCTGGCGACGACTGGCCAATCCGCGGGCAGAGGAATGAACCGAGACAGGCTGTCCATTAGGACATAGGACACACCCTGGACATGAACCTCACGGTTAGCCAAACCCCGAGAATCCAGCAAACTAGCCACTCGAAGGGACCAACCCCAAAGGCAAACACCTAGGAGAAACCCTGTGGTTCCGGCAAAGAACCGCCAGACAACAGTCCGAATGGAGCTGATTAGTAGAGCACCGTGTGACCCGAACCCTCCGAAGCGCAAACCAGACAGCCACGAACTCCCAAACCATGCTGTGAGCCTGACGGATGGACAGACCTCACCATCTCCGGCCGACCTGGTGAGCACTGGTCACACAGCCCCAGCCGAGAGATGACCCGTCTGTGAACCCATCGAGTGAAGGCTCGGGGAGGTGCCAAGGCACGGAACCCCAAAAGCCCCAAAGAGGAAGCTGGTGATTCAGCACCAACAAAATCCCCAGAGGAACGAATCCAACGATTGCAAGAGAGGCGAAAGGGGAGTCTCCGAAGGAACCAAACAGACGCCGAAGCCAAACCCGACCCTGCGGGCAGACCAGCACGTCAAAGTTCAGACTTCCGCACAACTGCTCGAGCAACCGCCGAACATCCACGGACCCCCTCATGAACAGCCGAAGGCGGGACCAAAGTCGCAGCAACACTTCTGGAGGGAAGTTCAAGGAGCGGCCCAAGAGCCCTAAGCAAGGCCCAGCCAGGTCCGAACCTGTGACGGAAACAGATGGAACGGCCTCCAGATCACCAGGAAACCAAACCCGGCGATCTGGAAAGAACCACATACCTGGTGAGCAGACAAGCAGACCGACTGGGAGCCCACACCAGCCAGTCGTCAAGGTAGGCCAGACACTGAATCCCAAGCAGATGCAGACAGGGCACCAAGATCCTGTAAAGATGCGTAAATACACCAAGTGCCAATTACAAACTAGGGAAGGCAAAAACCCGAAGTGGAAGCCAGTGGCGCAGCAGCCGACACAAGGCCCCCGAGAGACGAACCCAAAGATCGTGTGAGAGGCGGAAGGGACATCCCCAAAGGAACCAAAACAGCCAATGAAGCCAAACTTGACCCAGAGGGTAGACCTTTATTGCAAAGTTCAGGCTCCCGCACAAACCCTCGAGCAACTGCTGGGTGATCCAGGAGCCCCCAGAAACAAGCACATGCAGGACTGAAGCCGAAGGAGAGACTTCGAAGGGAGAGACAGGGAAGCGGTCTGATAGTTCCATACAAGACCCAGCCAGGTCCGAACCTGGGAGGAAACCAGATTCCGCCAGTTCACCAGGAACCCGAACCCGGCTAGCTGGGAAAGCACCAAACCCCTGGCGAGCAGACACGCAGACTGACTGGGAGCTAGACCAGCCAGTTGTCAGGATAGGCCAACACCCAAACACCTAAAAGACGCAGATGAGCCACCACAACCCGCGCAAGGAGTGTGAACACGCGAGGTGCCAGATTCAACCAGAACGGGAGACAACGAAAGCTGTAACCTTGACATCCCACAACAAAACCAAGGCAGTCCCTGAACCCCGGATGTATCGGGACGTGCCAATAAGCATCCTAGAGGTCCAGGGACACCAAGCGCCCGGCTCCAACATAAGCCAAACAGAGTGGTCATACGAAAGGAGGCGGCAAGAAACTCAGGGGTTCAAAAAGGGCAAGTCCAGAATGAAAATCCAGGTCCGCACAGTCCTGTTTTGGAACTGGAAACGGGCAGGAAACCCACCTGAAAGAAGTTGTCGTTTCGACCATGCCCAAGTACACCCATTCAGAGACGACTAGACAGAGCGCAGGAGAAGAAGCCTGGCCCCTCTCCCTTGAACCCCCCCACGGAGGAGCAGCCACTCAATGCTACTGCGGGCCTTGAGAAACAACCAGAAAAGCTCACTAATCGTGAGACCAGGCATGAGCGAGCACCCCGTCAATGGGGCGAACCGCAAAAGGGCTGATGCCCCTTACGAGAACCTGGCCTGCGCACAGAGCAATCACCACGCCGACCAGACACAGACGGATTTGAAACTGACACCTGTGGCCTACCCCGAAGAACGGAACCTCAAGCCCTGGCATGACCCCTCCGGGAAGAACCCACCCAGAAACCCCAGAGAACCAACATGTTGGAAATCGGACAACAGCTAGAAGAAGCCACCTGCATATACTGCTCAACCACAGAGTCTACAAACAACAAAGGACAAAAGGGCGAAGACAAATTAAGAACCAGGACCCAAGCAGATTCCAAGGAGGACATGAGCACAACCCGTCGACAAGCGAAACACGCAGCGAAAAACCGTGACAGCGCATCCCTCAGGATCGGCAGAAATAGCTTCAAAAGTGCAGACGACGCACGAGCAGCCGCTACCATGGCACCAGACCCAGGAACGGACCCCAAACGCCCCTACATTCTCTGCAAGCCAATCTGAAGAGAGCACCAGGAGGGAAAAGAAATGCAAGACCGAAGCCAGCAAGCCACGAGAGCGCAAGTCCTCATCCACAAGTGCAGCCGACAAGGAAGGAACCTGCACGTGAAGCTGAATCGCAATCCACATCCCACAGAAGGGCAGGAGCGAAAAGAAACTCATTAAGGTGCTCGCCTCCCAGGTAAACCTGGACCACAGTCAACGCCTTGCGCCACTCAAGTGTGCGGGTATGACAGAAAGCGCTCCAAGCAAACAATGACAACAATGGGCAGTCCGCAAGAAATGACAATTCCGGAACCTCATAACGAACCCAGTATGGAGATGAAGATCCAAATCTGAAGGAAGATGGACTTATTATAGAGGCATATTCCGGATTGTGCAGGCAGTAAGCCGCAATAGCCGTCCGCACTTCAGTAACCGAAAACCTTTCATAAGGATGGAACCGAAGGACCCACAGGGAATATGGAACCGAACCCGGGAAAGAGCTGTACCTAAAACCAACTCATTCGCAGAGGGGGGTAAGGGAAACCCCACTCTTTGCAACAGTAAGCCCTGCTCTGAGGGTCAGAAAACCCACGCGGGTTCCAACGAAGCCAAAGGCCCCCCAAGTCAACTCCTCCCCAACCCGGGGAACCTCCACATCAGGCCCCATGGGCAAGTCATCCTCCAAAGCCCCGGCCTCACAAGAAAAAGCCGGGATGGCTGAAAAAGCTGGAAGAGAAGAGGCCCACTAGTTAAGACCCCGGAGCTAAAGCTGTAGGAACAGACTCGAATGCCCCCGTCGCCTCCCCGAAAGGGGCAACCCCTGAAACCGCCAGTCTCAGAAACCTCTAAACCCTGCCCCGACCCCGAAGCCCTCAGACGCTTATGAGCTGGTAGCTGAACAGAACAAATCAGAGCAGGGGAAGAACAAGGGGATACATACTGAACCAAGGCCGACGCGACCAACACCCGCAAGTCCGGATCCCTATAAGCAAAGTGGGGGCAGCCTCGAAGCATCTAGGGAAGCAACCAACCTTTACCTAGCCTGCACCCGAATAATGTCATCAGAAGATTGGGTGAATTGAGTCACAAACAAGCAACAATGCTCACAGAGGACTGATTCAAAAGTGTCACTGACCCAACAGGCAGCATGACAAGAGGCAAAAACTATGAGTGTCGCCCCCTCAGACAAGGGGACAGAGCAACCCTCAAACTCGTTCAAGGCGAGAGGGGACCCTGTGTGCCCCCGCGGGGTTTCCCAGTGCCTGAAGACTGGGTACTGCTAACTGGCGGCCAATGCTACCAAACAAACTGCTAAATCGACTTGAGAATGGTCCAAGACGGACCAAAACATCGTCGTCCCTTCACCTTCTAGTGTGTGGTCTGGTCAACATAATTTAGCCACGTTATTGTGACTCATCGCCAGCAAACTGCTAAAGCTGAACCCCCAGGACATGTCCACTCACAAGGGCGAAGCAGGGGGTACCACCGAAAACAGGTTAACCCTAATATAACAGGGAAAAGCGATACCAAGGAAGACCCCCTACCAGGAAAAATAAAAAAAGGAAAAGAAAAACCTTGCAAGAGGACAACGTACCCAAGAGGAACAGAGCCAGAAGCTGTTATAGGTGAAAACTAGCTGCACAGTACCCATGCACCCCTACCAGTGCAAAAACTATCATTTACCCCAAGGTAAACAAGGGCAGAAACCCCCCAAAACACTCGAGCCAGTCAATTGCCAAGCAGCAAAAAACCAACAGAGGTAGACCCCAAGGTGACTTGTGGAACATAACCCCAAACCCCAAGGGCGGTACTTACAGGGCACTCAAGGAAGGTGACTAAGCACATGCAGCCCGAGTACCTGTGAATACTGTATTACTCCCAGCTCACACGCCACCGTAAGGCAGTACTGGACTCAAGGTACAGCACAACACAAGAGTCTGGAGCTGGAGCCACATGACCATGCCACAATCACATCAGCCAAAGAACTGGTGGGTGGATTGCCGGTGTGAGGCTCTGGGGGCTCCCCTTTCCAGGGAGGGGGGAGCTGCGCAGACATGCAGCGCGGCTCGTGTGACATCATGCTCATTTTCATTTGGGGAGTTCTGTACACTAGTTGGTCTATTTTTGTCGTTTTAACCAAAATAGGCGTTTGTTTTGGGGCACTTACCTTTCTGGATGCCTGTCCAGGTCGATGGCAGATATAGAATGCTCCAAATCCCATATGCATTTCGCAACCCATCTTCCGAATTGACAGTACGATTTAATACCAAGTGTAATAAGTACATTTCCTTACTTTCATACATAGTCCATAATTGCACTTATGGGGCTGTTACATTTACCTCCCCATTTATTTTCCTCGTTTTCTGTTAAAACACTCAGAATTTTAGGATGAAGCTTTCAAGTTCAATTCACTATACACAAGTTTTAAAATTCAGGAATTTCTTTTTCAGTTTTATTAAACAATAGAGATTTTATACAAAATTTGAAAATATCCTGAGTTACTTTACAATTTATTGATATATTTTAGTTTTGTTTTATTAGTTTTATACAACCCGTTCTCGCACTTTCTTACAGTCAATATTGACTTATTAAATACGTGCATATTTAATATGTGACATACTAAACATACTAGTTTACCTTGAAAAGCTTCATAGAAAACACCAACCTTACCTAACCTTCTTAGTATGTTAAGATAAGCATCTTATTGCTTCGTAATTACAATTATTACTTAACCTATACCTATAATAGGCCTGAAAAGCCTGAAAAGGGAGCTTATCTAGGGAAAGGAAAATCCTGATTCTAAATATCCGCTGCCTTGTGGCTATACCCCCTCTTTTGGGAAAGGCTTCAGGAGTCAATCTCGAGGAAAAATCCGGAGTTCGAGCCCCAAAGGCAATTCGCTCTCGATTTCGACCTCGTTCTGGCAGCTCCTGCGACGGTGCTGGCACCATGTGTATTCGCATTTCCCTTTCCATTGGATAATTTCAGCAACATGGACCTGCTGCATGGATAACAGCTTCCCCTCCATATCGACCTACCCAGACTTTGCGCCCTGGAGAGCAACCAGAGCGCAACTCCATAGTCTGCAGAGACTGAAGGATGCCTACTACTGGAAAAACGAGACAACACGAGCATAACTCTTATCCTGTAACTACACTTAGGTACATAATTACTTAGGAAATTACACACTTACATTCATTCAATATTACTGCAAGTTTTCCTTTTATATTTGAGATACATTATTGCATCACAAAGCAGCACTACAAGCGAGTGTTAAAATGGCATTGGCATATAGTGAGAGTGGGGTGGGGTGGGAAGAATGCCTGAGTATCATTAAAGTACATAACCTAGCCATTATCAAATGATTATTACAATAGGAGAATATGAAAAGAAGTTGTACTTAATTTAAACGTAAAAACAAAATATTTACATATTGCACATACATCTCACAGGTTTGTAATGTAAGTCGGCACTTAAATGCATACAATTATTTGATTCGAGTGTTTGTGTAAGTTTTGAATCAATTCCCCATTGTCAGTTCACTATATCTAAAACAGTTTCATATTTCAGTTCCTTAAATTTGGCTCAGTACTTAAAAATCTTATATTAAAGTATAGAGGAGGAAGGAGAATGTGATGAATACAATATTTTATGTACCTTTGCATCAGCCTCGGTGTACTCCCAGGGAAGCGAGCCAATAAGCAGCTGAGTAGGGTCTGCCCATTTTGTAGAATTTAGAATTTCTGAAATAATATTTACTGCATGAGCAAAATTTTCACATAGGTGTGTGTGTGTATATATAGCACAAGCCCTGAGAGACAAACACCCACTCAGAGCTCTACGTGATGACAGCATTCCATCAGTCGGTGTCACAAGAGCA